GGAGTAGTGGTCGGTAAGATTAATATGTATTGGTGTTATTAAAAGTTAGGTTAGTGCTTTGTGGAGTCATTCATGGCTGAGGAACGGGGAGTTCCGGAGAAAGAGATCCCGGCGAAGGCGCCTCTAGGGAATCTAGAGTTCCGAAAACCACCCATCGATTCCGTAATCAGGTCGGCAGTGAACGCGGCAATTGCACAAGCCCACCAGACATATCAGCATGCTCTGCCATCTGGCATCAGCGAGTCCATCCGAGATGAGATGCGAGCGGGCTTCCTGGAGATGATGAAGGACATTATCGACGTGCTCAGACCGTTGGGGACCCACGCCAGAGAGCAAGATTTGGAGCCGGTGACACCAAGACACATCGCGCCGGACCCGGAAACAGGTACCATCCCATATGACGAAGGGCTCCAGAGCGGAACGTATTCACCGTCGGCACCGCCTAAACTACACAGACTAAGCGCACGTAAGAAGAGGTATACACCCCCAGACCGAGGTTTGTCGGGAGTCCTCAGGCTAGGAACTTGCGCAGCGCTAACAACCGAAACTTCCGGGTGGAGGACCGAAGAGCTGGTGATTTTCCGCCGGAGGCGGACGATAACGAATTTGAAAGGGAAGCCCCTAGGAGTGTTCCATGCGAAGGACATACGGGTGTAGATCAGGGTCGTGGGTGTGGCCTACGTTGGGCATTCTAATTAGCCGGCTGGGCGAAACAGTATAGGAAATGCGCACGCAGATTCTATTGTAACGGTTGGGTTCGCGTTTACAATAATCCGCGTGGTGATGTTGCATTTGACGTTATCGGCAGCATCGAGAGTTTGCTTAGTTGGTTGCGTGCGATATTATCGGCCGCACCAAAATCCTTTGGTCATATGGTCAAAGTATCGGCGGTGAAGCTGGGCCCACAGCGGAGCCCAATTTATTGAAGGGTGGCAACGCCAGGCTTGCGATCCACGGCGCCAAAAGCGGCGATGGCTAATCGCCGACCGATTTGCTCTTAAAGAGATTACAAGAAGAGCGGATGGCATGCCCTTGGCCTTCATTTGGGCCGTTGACCCAAAAAAATGCAGCTGTGCAGATGGGCAGCAACGGTGCCCGTCTCGCAAATGTACGCGTGTGCCGAAATTCGGCACCAATGTTGCTGCCCAAATGTACAGCATAGGGGAGTTCGATTTGATCAGCGGTCAACGGCGGGCGTGCCAGCTCGAAGCGAGCTTAAAGTTATAGTTTCGCATGTCGGCTCTAAATATTCGAGTTTTTCCATCCGGCCAATTAAGCCAACGCGTACCAACAAATAAAATCGATGTTTTGTTTTTGCAATTTAATAAATAAACGTCAATTCGACCATTTGAGTCACCAATTATACAAAAGTAGAAGAAACTTAAAATTAAAGTGTGACAAGAGACGAACAAATAAAAATCAAAAGACTATTAACAAAATACACAGCTCCGGCAACGAAGGGACCAGCTCTCGCACCAGAGAAGCTCCCGAAGTCACCGCCAAGGCCAGGATTCGGCTTAGCGGCGCACGCCAGCCATATCAGCGGCGCACGACAGCCATATCCGCGACACCCGTCAGCCAAGCCTCGGCGCAAACCTGAAGACGGAGAGACGAGCCACCAACGACCGGGCTGCAACAGCGAAGAATTGGCCACAGGCGAGACATTCCTCCGAGTGAGTCTGTTCCATTTCGCCCCTCTTCGTTCGAGCAATTGGCAGAGTCAGACGTGGACTCCTGATTGTGCTCCCTGAAAGAGAGCAGATTTTTAGTCGTTTTTAAAATTATTTTTTTGTTTATAAATTATATATATATATATATACATAGGCACTGTCGCCAAGCTTCACTTTAAAGTGCGAGCAGTGAGGGAAAACTCCAAAGGTTATGCATATGCGCCTATAAAATATAAAAGTTAAAAATTTAGTACTTGCGCGAACAATACTCACATACATACCTAATTTGAATTACCCCTTTCTATCGCCCCTTACCACCCCCGGAGAGCTCTTTAGGTAGGGTAAGGTAGAATTAAGCGATTTAATATATATATATATCACCTAACTGTTGCACGACTGATTATCGTGACATACCCAGTTCTAAGTATTTGCGTGGGTACTCTGTTCCTGAATCGGTGCAACGATTGCCTCATAATTGCTTCTTGTTTTTTTTTTCTTTTTTGCGGCGACGGGCAATAACTTGGCAGTTTTTCGTCGCCTGTTCCATTTAATGTTGTTAAAGTAAATAAAATGCACTCTGTAAGATTATAGAAAATTTAGAAATTAATGCCCATTGTCCATAATCATAAGTATAAGGCAAAGCAAAGCAATAATACGTACCTGTTGACGAACCGAAGACAATGTCAGCTTGCGTAGAATAAATATCTAAATGGAGACACCTTATAAATTAGAAAGAGATAAGAAACATTAATTGTTAATAAACATAAGAAATACAACCAATTATACGCACGTATTGAAGATATTAATGTCCGGCTAAGTTTAACTCGATGGGGAGAGGGGGCATAACAGCCGACCCGGGCGGATGCAGGCAATCTAGTGGCCAAAATGAGGGAGACGAGATCAGGTGATCGTCTCAGGTAGGGCGGGTACGCTGGGTCCGGTACCGAGACCCGATTTGGAAAAGTAAAGTGGATAAATAGTGTTTTTTGTTAATTTATATTGAGTGTCTCGCCTTTGTTGTTTACATTTGCTTGTTGTTACAGCTGTTAGTGTTGTTCACTTGTTAGAAGTTCCGATTGTTTGTTGTTATCGATTATGTGGTTCAGTTTGAAAAGTGTTGTATAGGTATGTTTTGCTACAGACGTTGTAGCTTTGTTGTTATCGACTGTGCGGACTGCGGGCCAAGGATGGGACTACACCCAGAGAAACCGATGAGCCAGCCGGCGCGGCCCACTGAGCAACAAGCAGTTTCGTAACAATATGGCGCCCAACTTGAAAAAGCACTCGGCTTCTTTGAAGTCGGTGTAGAAATCAAATTAATAATAAATAAAATATCAATGAAGGTACAAGGAAAAGTCTCCCTTGGCTTTAGGATCCACACCGCTGAAGTCTTATGTGGCACGAGTAGGTGGCTCATAATCGCTCAGCATTCAGTGGAATCTGAGAAGCACGACGGAAGTAGAGAATATCAGAATATACATAAACATGAGAAGTTTTTCTTGCCGTGGTTGATGGCGACCGTTTATTGTAGCCTGGCGGTAGCCGCAATGACAAAGGCATATCGTGATATAAAAAATGTGATATTAGGGTAGTTTTGTCAGATGTTATTTATTCAATTATTAGTTTTTGTCTCATTTTGTGTCAATGTTGGATGTATGCTGACCAGAGTTATATAAGCTTCGGAGACAGGTGACCCAGGACGATGTAGAATCGAGCCTGCGCCGCATCTGTCACACAGCATACCCCAAGAATGACCAGTAGAGGACGGAGACGGATCTTGCCATGGTGTCCATTAACATGGGGAGTTTTCTTGCCGTGGTTGATGGCGTGAAGTCACGTTCGCATGTTGGCGAACGTTCGCGACCGTCCATCGTAGCCTGGTGGTAGCCGCCATGACAAAATAACCTGTGATAAAATGTGATATGAGAGTAGGTCTTGTTAGAGTTTGTTTAATGTTTACTATTTGTTTTGTCCCACTCTGTGTTTACGTTTGGTATGTGCTGGCCGGCGT